TATCTGGGGGGGGGGAAGGACCCTACTGAAGTCCACCACATGAGATTCAAGATTCAAAGTGTTTATTGTCATGTGTCACAAGAGAAAAGGCATTTCTTTGTGCAATGAAATTCTTTCTTTGCTTTGATGTCCACCCATAGATGCCGATTAATGTATACAACAGAAATAGAACATATAAATACAAATAGTACAAATAAATAGCTGAAGGCAGAAAAGGAGACAAAATATGGAGATTTGAAACAGATGTGTGCAAAAGAGCTATAGCTTAATATGCTGGCTTAATGTGTAAGATGACCAGATGTGCAAAAAAATTATTATTACTGTTCAAAATGGGTCAGCTGTTCAAGAGTCTGATGGCAGTGGGGAAGAAGGAGTTAGTGAGTCTGGATGTTCTGGATTTCACACTTCTGAACCTTCGTCTCGAGGGCAGAAGTGTGAACAGTCCGTGTTGGGGGTGTGTGGGGTCTTTGAGGATGGACTCTAAGATGGTAGATGCTCTGCAGAGAGGGCAGCGGAGTTCTGATGATCTTCTCTGTGGTTGTTATCACTCTCTGCAGGCGTTTGCGGCCCATAGCAGTAGTGCTGCCGTACCATGCAGTGATGCAACTAGTTAGGGTGCTCTCCACATTGCAGCTGTAGAACCTGCTGAGGATCTTGGCCGACATACCAAATTTCCTCAGCCTCCTCAGGAAGTACAGCCTTTGCTGAGCCTTCTTGACCAGCTGTGTGGTGTTCAGTGACCAGGTGAGGTCCTCAGAGATGTAGACGCCCAGGTACCTAAAGCTGCTCACCCTCTCCACTTCAAGGCCCCAGATAGACAGCGGTGGGTGAGGCCTCCTCTTCTTCCTTGTGTCCACTATCATCTCCTTTGTCTTGTCAGTGTTGAGGGTGAGGTTGGCTGAAGTCCTGTTGCCGATCCTGACGGACTGGGGCCTGCCAGTCAAAAAGTCCTGTAGCCAGTCACATAGGGTGGGGTGCAGGCCAAGTGTTACCAGCTTGTGAGTTTGTGTGGGATGACAGTATTGCAAGCGGAGCTGTAATCAACAAAAAGTACCCTGATGTATGAGTCTTTGTTTTCCAGGTGGGAGAGTGAATAGTGAAGGGCAGCAGCGATGGTGTCTGACATGGACCTATTGGACCGGTAGGCATACTGCAGGGGGTCCAGAGTGTCTGTGATCAAAACACTTCGCAATGATTGGAGTGTGGGCTATGTGTGTGATTTCTGTATTATTACCGAGGGGCAACCTCCAGAAATGAAGCCAATGCGGAAGTGCCACATGAGGCTGGTTTTGGCCTCCATGAAGTTTCCCCACTCAGAACCACTTTGAGTGGGTGAATGACTCTTACACAGCTATCTGTATACTGAAGTCGTAGGGATAGTGGATATAGAGCCTTTCTGAGTTTAATTAACAGATGTCTGCTAGGCGTCACCATCACAGTCAGCAGAACGTATGAACAGGTAACTTTGACTGGGGGGCCTTCAGCTCATGCTGCGTTGCTATTCTCCCCCCAGAAAACAAACAAACATATTTCAGTTCAATTCAGGTTTATTTGTATAGTGCCAAAATTCACAACAACAGTTGCCACTAGGTGCTTTACATTGTAAGGTAAAGACAGAGAAACCACAAGTCAGATGACCCTCTGTGAGCAAGCAGTTGGGTGGCGGTGGGAAGGAAAAATTCCTTTTCTTTACCGGAAGAAGCCCCCCAGCAAAATCGGGTTCAGGAAGTGGCGGCCATCTGCCATGACCCAGTGGGGCCGAGGGGAGGGAAACAGGACAAAGACATGCTGTGGAAGAGAGCCAGAGATTAATTATTACTAATGATAAAAATTCAGAGTGGTGTATAAACACACAGAGTTTATAC